CAATCACTGAATCCATTCATCCATTCATTCACTGTTTGTTTGCAAACAAATTGAGCCCATATTTGGTAACGTCTTGTATGAGCGACCCCTACAGTACAGTACATTCAAAACTTGACAAAGTTGTGTATTTGATCAATGATTCAATGATCATGGTCACTTTCTATCATATTCAATAATTAAAGTTATGATTACAGATTATAAATACTAATAAATTATCACATAGTAAGCACAATTTGTTTGTTATGTTTTTACAACAAATTGACCAGGTGCTATTTTCAAATTATTTCTAAAAATTATTGTACTGTATTAATAAGTAAACTTATCGGAGCATAAATGACAATGCTGAAATATTGTAACTATATTCATACTGTATCTCAACAAACTATTTTAGCTTACAGTTGCCTAAAATAACAGTAATAAACTAATTATTACTGATTATAACTAATTATAACTATAATTATAACTAATTAATTAGTAAAGGGAAAATAAGTGACCTATCATATCAATTTACTATCAATTTATATGTTAAAACCTATTATATTGGTGTCAAAGGTCACCGATGGAGCAGTCAATGCAACTTTTAATGTACTGTTAGACACAAATCCACATAATTTGTGAAATTAACTCAAAAGTCATTCAATTTGTAATTCTTTTATTACTCGTTAATTATAAAAACTAATTTTATTGACTTTATTAGTCTATAGAATAAATTATCACTAATTTGTAGTTGTCATTGATTAGAAAATAATGGATACAATCAATCAAATATCTATTCAAATTTAAAAAGTAGTTAATATTCAATATAAATGTTATAATATTATTGCATAATTGATATCATTATAGTGTTTATGCATTTGTGACCAAACAAGAGCTCCAAAGTGAGTAATTGAGGAAAGGCTTATCAGTCGGTTACGGCATTGCTTTCCATACTTTGTTTTTGCAGAAATGTGTAGCCTTTAAGTCAAACAATATTTTAGTTCATATTTTTATATATTAAATGGACAGTTGTACTTACTTTACAGGACTCGGCGTGAGCTATGGTATGACACCAATAGGTGGGTCCAAACGTACACTTGTGACCTCCCAGCATATGTACGCCCCCACTTGAATAGCACATATCGATTGACTATTCAAATGAAATAATAGTTGTATAAATCATATCATAACTCATGAGTTAGACATCACTTACTCTACAGATCTGATTCGCATCATTAAGACTTCCAATCATTTGCAGAAAGTAAGGCGCAAACGCCTCAACCATTAG